AAACTAAAGGAAAGATATTTCATCGTTGTTACAAGTGTTACTGTGCAGTGTTAATTTATTTCTGTGATTTAAAGTACGAACCTCGGGATAAATTCCTATTAAATTAAATTAATAAACTAAAAGATGCCTCTAAATGCACTAATCTATGCACAGTATCTGTCAATGTGTGTGTGTGTGTGTTACCAGGTATGCGGCCTCTCTCATGAATTGTTTGGCAGGTTGTCTCCACACCGCGGGGACCGTGATCACCCATCTGATCTCCTCTCCTTCCAGCACTGATGAAGACTGGTCCTTCACCTCCTACAACAGAACCCCCCCACAAAGAATTTATTTCTAGTACAACATTTAAACAAAGAAACTAATGTATATCAATTATAAAACAATCTGAAGACGTTTCTTTGGGTGGTTTAAAATCATCTCAACAGAGAATCTGTGAGCATACACATGTACAAACTGAGCTTTAAAGCGCACCTTCAGAGCATGCTCCCTGAAGAAGCGCAGGGCGTGAGCGAACACCTCGATGGCCCTGACCTTGCGTCCATTGACTGCCTCCAGCTCTGTCTCCATGGTGAGGTCCTGTATGAAACACAGCCACAACTGCTGCAGCAATACTGCAAGAAGAAACCCACTGCCTGATACTTAAAGACAAACTTAACAGCAGATAAACATTTTTTTTTACTTCTGAATTTGCTGCTGTGATGGAAAAGTGTACTCTTGGGTGTGTTAGTGCATGATCACTGTTCGGTGTGGTTACAAGTATAAATACTTTTTTATCCAGGCAGCAAAAGAGTATTTTTGTACATGGTACATTGGTTAAGTTACTCTTTTATATTTTAGTTTTGTATTATGTGCAAGTTAAAAGCTTTTTGTCACTTTTACTGTTCTATTTCTTTTTCCCTTTAATTTTCTTCGTCTTACACTTGTGCTGTGGATCTTCATTTTAAATTTATCGAAGTAGAGCCAGTGCCGGGCCTCTTCCGGGTCCAGATCGTGGTAGAAGTCCCGCGCAGCAAACCCAAAACTGTGGAACCGCAATTCAGGAGTCAGCAGCAAACACGTTGGGCTCTTCTGATTGGCCACTCCAGGGTCGCCGCCCTCCCAGCGCCTGCACAGATTGGAGGAAAAAAATCTGTAACGAAAAGAAAGTACAGAAGAAGAGAATAGAAATGAAGAAAATGCAAAGAAAGTCTTACTTCATCATGTGTATGGCGTCTGAGTCCTGTGTGAAGCTGAACGCATAGCCGCTGGAGGTCGTCCCGAAATCAATCGCCACGACGACGGAGAATGGGCAGGCCATCCTAGGTCTGACCTCCACCCTCTGAGAGAAAAACAGACAGATAGAAGAAGTTGAAACTAAATTTACATATTTGTGGAACTAATTATTCCTTTCCCCTATTTCATCAAAGTGTCAGTGTGCATGTATTTCTTTCCCACAGACTGTAGCCTTCACGGAGCACTTCACTTTAAACTGTAAGTGCAAGTGCTATTATAAACCACTAATAACACTGTGAAGTGGATGTCGGTTTACAAGTCATGTTTAAGAACTCTATATTAAGAAAAAAAAGTAGGAAGAGGAAAGGGTGTGTGTCTGTGGCCAATGTGTGTGTGTGTAGTTACTGGTGAGGATGAGGGCGTGAGCGGTGTGATGCTGCAGTCATTTCTCGCTGTGGCAGGCGACGAAGGGGCCGATAAATCCTCACCTAGAAATTAATTGAGTTGAAGAAGAGAAGAGAAAATTAAAATGTAGCCACAAACGTGTTTCAGATGTGGTAGATGCGTCACATATATAATAAACTACAGCCAAAAATTAAATTGTGTCCATGGGGAAACTGATACAACTACTGATACTAGCATGTACACATGCAGACAACACCTTATTTTTCACCGTGGAGATTAAAACACACTTGACCTGAGGTGGAATGAGTGGAATGAGTGGAATCTGATGTGAGTATATATAAGTGGGAGAGGGACATGTGAAGGTCTTCACACTCCAAAAGATAACGAACGAGGAGTGAGTCATTTTAACCAGGATGTTGTAGAACTTTAGTGTGTGTGTGTGTGTGTGTGTGTGTGTGTGTACAGTGTGTGTCTCACCTGGGATCTGCAGGCTGTTTGTGTCTGGCTGCACCATGTCAGCCATCTTTACAGGAGCCAGGGTCTGCAGAGAAACAACAACATAATGCAAATAAGATAATCGATACGGAAAACTCTTCTTCATGGCTTATAAACCTGATTTCTGTCCATCTGTCAAATTTAAAAACAATATTCGCCTCCCTTTTGCCTTTGTTTTGGTTTCCACATTCTCTTGAGGAAATGATCAATGTAAATGCTTCACAGTAGTTCACATTGAGCCAGTTGCTAAATCTGTCTCTCGGATATTTGCTGCTGGGCAGTTAGATAACGTAGCACTAAAACCTAAACAATGAGCTAAAAGATGCTAAATGCTCAATAAGACTGAGGGGAACTGCAGAGAGAAAATAATATGTGGGTTCATCACTACACATAGTCACGTGAAACATTCTTAACATGAAATATTAAAGGTTCAGTGTGTCAAATTTAGTGACATCTAGTGGTGAAGTTACATGTTGCAGCTGAATACCATTTCATTTCAATGAGTTGCAACTGGTAAATGATGCCAATAACAATACAATTTTAAGGCAGATACAGAAGTGATGACAGAAGTTATAGAGTTGATAAAATACTAAGTGGACAATTTATTAAAGATTTGGGCAAACAATTATTGCATTTTCATTCCATTGGTCATGGGTGTTGTGCATATTTGACCATTTTACTCAAGTACAATGGCAGAAAATAAATATAGCATACAAGTCAGCAAACAGACATTAATCAGCCAAGCAGGGGAAGTGAATGAGACACACCCCAACAACAGCAACTGTAACTGTAGGTCACTGGTGGTTTGCAATGGGAAGCTCATTTTTTTATATTTACATTAACTTGTACAGTATTTTACTGACATATGACACACACACCCAAAAGTAAGACATCATTAAGTAAATCAATACATTTTGAAGTGAAGAGGTTTTTTAACATGAGGTCAAGTTTAGGATTAGGTCAAGTTTAGGATTAGGCAAATTGAAACTATGGTCAAGGTTAGAGTCTCCAGGAAATCAGTGTTATTCAATGAAATGTCCTGGTCATGGAGACACAACTGTGTGTGTGTGTGTGTGTGTGTGTGTGTGTGTGTGTGTGTGTGTGTGTGTGTGTGTGTGTATATTGAATTGCAGCGCCGGGAATCATTGGATCACAGACTCTGTGATCTGAGCCGGAAGCAAACTAAGAGTTCAATGAAACAAAGATTTGTTTTTTTAAATCAGATTTGCGTGTGTGTGTGTGTGTGTGTGTGTGTGTGTGCGTGAGAGAGAGAGAGAGAGAGAGACCATACTTTTCTTTGACATCCTTGACTTGCATACATGCACGCTACATATGTGTGCGTTCATTCAAACATATGCCTAAAACATTTGATTATATCGTGTGCTTATGTATGTTTCCAGCTGTCGTCCCTGCACTTTGATGATATAACCAGAGGATGAAACTCCACATCTCCTTCACATTCTTTTTTTCTCTCCTTCCCTCTGCTTTAACTCTCTCATCCACTCATCTCATTAAACCCTTCATGCAGCCCTTCAACCCCCCNCCCCCGCCCTGCAGTCTCTACCTTTGTCTCCCTCTCTCAGGCGCACGACCAGAGTTTTGCAAGGGATCAGCAGAACAAGCAGCTCAAACTCCCCTGAGATGTTACATTAGGGACAGACTGCGCAACGCACTCCACTTTTATGCACCATTAACAATGGAGCCCTGTCACTTTCAAGTATGTGGAGAAGTTTTGTGCACATTAGACTTACTGGTGCACATTTGTCTCTGAACCATTAACACAAAATATTACAAAAGAACAACTCAAATACAAGTTACACTATAAGAAGAGCAAGCAACATACAATACAAAGAAATACTTTTAAGTGCATTTCCTCCTCTAATGTTAACTCACCTCTTTGGAAGCAGTTGCAACACTATGCCCTTTTGATGCCTCTCTCAAAATGTGTCTCCCAAACTCCTGCAGTCTGAAGTTTGGAATCCGCCTCCAGGGAAGAGATGAAAAGGAAAAGGAAGAGTGCTAAAGTGTGACAGGGATACAAAAGGATGCTTTTGTAGAAACGCTCCTGTTGAAAATGTGAGATGTCTCAGCTCACTTACAGGCAGGTCTCCCAAGATGGGAAGTTGTGAATCAGAGGGATGATCACGATGAGAAGTGAGGAGCTGCAGCTTCGAGAAGGGAGATAATGTTCCTCTGCTTTTTCTCAGTAAAAGTCCTTGTTTTTCTTAATGGAGTTCGATATGGAGCTCTGGCTCCCTGCAGCCAAGCTCAGCGTCTCTGCGCTCTGTAAAGGAATGTCAGAGAGAAGTGGTGACACACACACACACCAGTTGCATTAGAGGGAGGGCTGTGGCAGCGTATAGGGGGGTGGGGGTGTGTGCTCGGGATTTACCTCTGAGGGATATTGCTGTGTGTATGAGGGTGGAGTAATCTTGAGCGTATCCCGCTGAAGTCATCTTGCCCTCTCTTTCCCCTCCATCCCACTCCCTGCATATCTATCCTTCCTCTGTTTAATTGGCTCTTCCTATCTTCCTCCTTGCTTCTCCTTTCGTCTTGTCTTAGCTTTATTTCATGCTGCCCTCTAAACCTTTGCACAACGTTAACACGCGACTTTCTAACTTTGCAGACAAAGGCAGGAAACGACCAGGTGTTTGGGTCAAACTGACACAGATGGGATCACACAGAGGGGAAGAAAACAGGTGACTTGCTCCACATGTGTCTGTTTATAATTAAAGTTGAGTTTAACTTGTCAGAAATGTGCTGTCTTTCCGGGAGTTCGATGAGAAGAAGGATGTGAAGACTGGAAACGGGGGGGGGGGGCAAACTAGCCGGGCTTCATCTTCGCCTCAATCAAGATGTAATGTGTCAGCAACTCAGCCTTGGAGATCTTGGCCAGAAAGCAAATATGTGTATTTACCAAAACGTCATGCTGTATTGCCTTAATGAGAATGAAATTAAACCTTAAACCGTAGATGAATGTGTTTGCTGCACTCTTTCCTGATGTCTGAAAAGTGTTTTCTTATGTTCCGAGTGTGTACATTTGTGTGTGTGGATCTTGTGGTCCACATCAACACTGCAGGGATCTGATTTCTCCCCCACTAGAGCAGTGATTGAAAGCATACATTAACCCCCAGTTCTGGTAACGCACACACACACACACACACACACACACACACACACACACACACACACACACACGCTCACTCCCAACGGGCAAAGGAAGTCAGACCTCTTGGGTATATAGAAAAAGGGCCCCTGGTATATACACACATGTCCACATGCACTCAGTCTCCTTGTCCTGTCAGATTTCCAAATCGAATTAGTGTGTGTGTGTGTCTACGTGTGTGTGTGTGTGTGTGTGTCTGGAAGCCATTACCTGGCATGTCTCCCCTTGCCCCTTGAAAAATCAAGAGGCCCCATATGGATCCTGCCATCACCTTTCTCTCTTTTTCATTCTCCCTCTTTTTTTCTATTTAATACCTCGTTTATTGTTCTTGTATATCAGTCCCTCTTCCCTCTTGTACGAGCAGTTCTTCCTTCCATTCTCTCCCTCACATTTCTCTGTTTGATCCATTTTATTTGACACCTTGCTTGCACTGACCTGCTATCGCTGTTTCATATATTTGGTCACTTGCCGGAAATTTCTGTTTAGCAATAGGCCCGATGAAACCCACCGGGGACACTAGGGGGTGAGGGGGTTTTGGGGAGTTGGGATTCAAAACTTCTCTGTCACTGGAGAGACCAAATAATGACACATGACCGCTATTGAGACGCAACCTCGCCCTCCTCCTTGGAGGTCCAGACGGAGGAAGCCTGACGCAGGAAGTGATGGAGTCAGGTGACAGGAAGGAACCCCTGGGCTGCATTCCTCTCATGAATTCCACATTATCTCTCGGACATCGAGCAACGGAAACACACACATGAACACACACACGCACACACAGCGCAGGAGTCACTGTTCTTCCTCCAGCTTCTCTAAATAGCTGCGGCCTGAGAGAAAACCTGATGCTCGAAAGCATCAGGTTACTCTGTCACTGATGATGTTCTTGTTTATAGCTTTCCTTAGTGTTCACCACAACACACATGTATGTCAGTGCACATACAGCTGAGACAGAACTATCTCAGCTTAAGGTCTGGGCCATTCTGGAGCAGAAGATGGAGTCTGCTGTGTTGTCATGGAGCTAAAGACGTTGAGCTTCTCATCCATGACGGCTCAAAGTTGCTTCGTGACTTTTCGGGGAGCGGTTGAAGACTCAATGTCTGTCGGTCTTGATTCGTAGACAAAGCTCACTAAGAAGTCCAAAAGCTGTTTGGAATAACAAAAAGCAAGTTGTGAACCATGAGAGCACCAAACATGAAGTGTTGGGCTTGAGATTTCTGATCTTTTGTACATTTAGAGGCCTCAGAGCTGTTGTGCACATTTAATTTTCTGCAATCAGAGTCAGCGATGGTCACAAATATTCAGACATTAGCAGTGTGGTACAATAATCTCCTTGTACAACTATTGTGTAACTTTTCTTTCCACCATTTCTCAAGCAAACAAGGGGCCCAGAGTCTGAACATGTGAGGGCCACACTGTAAGAAAAACACACAAGTGGGAACCATTAAAGGTTGTCTGCATGTACTGTGTGACCCGTTGTTTTCTTTAAAGGTTTCTGGAACAAATGTGTAGTGAGACTATATTCCGTATTCGCCAACGTCCTGGATCAAAGTGAACATACTGTGCTGCTTGTTTCTTGCTGTGCGTTCACAGCACCTCACTTGTGACTGTTGACACGACCTCGGACTATGAGCACTCGGTACGTCCTGGAGTTTGTGCAGAAAATAATAAAGGCAACATTGTACCTTTAAATGCATATGGGTATGTTAACGCGCCACTTCCTGTTCCCGTGCACGAAAGGGTGTCTCTCAGTGTGTTCATGTGAATGTGTGTGTGTGTGTGTGTAAGAGTGTGTGTTATTTTGGACAACCTTACTTGTGCAGCCTGGGGTGGGGACCCAGGGCCACAGGAAAGGCTGGGGTAGAAGATACACATATGCACACACACAAACCCGGACACACACAGACACACACACACACAGGTTTGTGTGCTCATTAGGACTTTGCATTGACTTTGCATTTGCAGGCTAACCAAAACCATTGGTTCAATCCCAGACTCCCGGATTCCATGAGCCAAAGTGTGTGTGTGTGAATGGGTGGATGGCAAAACTGAAAAGTTTGTTGGACGAGGCCCTGGTCCCCATGAGATGTTTATGCTGGAAGCACACACACAGACACACACACACACACACACACACACACACACACACACACACATACACACACACACACACACGCATTCAGTAATGTTACAGCCCTCTGACATGAAGTCTGGACTATTGTGTAATCAAAAGCAAGGGGGGCAAGAGGAGAGAGAGGAAGGGAATTTATGATTTATGATTCTACAGCAGAGACGGAGGGTGACATTTAAAGGGGAGAGAGAGAGAAGAGGAGGAAGGGAGGGAGGGAGGCATCATGTAACAGCATTGTGGAGAAGGAAAGTGGTGGAAAAGAGTTGAAGTGGAGCACTTCTTTATGTCTGTAACTAGAGAGCGAGTGTGAAAATAGTTTGTGTGAATGCATTGTATATCAGTGCACTCTCATGGCTCAATGTGTGGGAGTGGGCCGTCTACTGTGGGCACTTGCATTAAAGTTTTTATCAAGTGGAGATTGGTGATAACGGCCTCAGCCATGTGAACTGAGGAGAAACTCCAGCTGAAGTCTGACCCCAGAGTTTACGAAACATATTTGGCTTCTGTTTAGATGTGTGTGAGTGTTTGTGTTTGTGTGTGTGTGTGTGTGTGTGTGTGTGTGTGCTGTCTGCATGTAATCACAAGGAAACAAGCCATTCCTGCAGCCTTTTATGAGTTTCCCGAGGAGAGGTATCACAGGTCACTATGGATAAATCATCTGCAGGCATACAGTACAGGCTGACTCTCTGAGGAACATCTGCCGCTCGTCATCTCCGTCTCAGTACATATGCACGTCCATGCATCTAATGCGCAGGTGGGACTTCGCAGAAAATCGTTTAGCATGTTGGAAATCTGTTACAGTGATGATTTATGGTGACTGTTCACTCCTGTGTTCACAAAACAGTGGTTTAATGCAACATATACACACAAGAATATGCATTCCAGTCACATTTAGCATGACCATTGAGTATACTGCTCTGCTCCTCTATTGTAGAGGACTTTATATGGTCTGTACCACATCAGACATTAGTGTTTATGGGGTTGGGATAAGGCTAATCCTTGGGTCTAGTTACAGATATTCAGATCCACATTTACAGCCGAATAGCAATGATTCTGCTGGTGGATGCAGTGTGAGCTACAGTTGCCCTCTGCTGTCTTTTTATGGTGATGCACCCTCTCATTGTGTCCTTATACACTGCTGGCTGAAAGTGTCTCGTCCTTTCTGGTTTTCAGAAATGCACGAGGACCTTGAGAGTCGATGGCTGGGTTATTGCATGTGAAAGCTATAGTCAAGTATTGTTCATGTCACCTCAGTGAAGATGAGCAGGGTAAAGTGTTCAAGTTGCAAAAAGGCACAAATCTACACGGCTTTACATGCTGCCAATAAATAATAATGAATAACAATATCCACCTGAGAAACATTAAATTAAGTAAATTCAGACATTGAAATGTTCTATGATTTTCATTATTATGCCACAATAGAGCCTCCGTGTTCTTAATGGAAGTAAGTATTTCCGATCCAGATGTGCTGTCATCACTAAAACATCTGCTTAGACCAGTCTACCACACATCATGTCTTTAACGCTTGGGTTTACTTTATTATTCATGTGTTTATTTATGATACATCTTCAGGTGTCCTTTGGTGTAAAATGTGTTATTATTGTTGTTACATATTTTTGTATCATCACTCAATCCACTGCCACAACAGGATCATTAGATGAACCTGGATAAAGAGGCCCATCAGTTTATGCTAACACATGCTAACAAAACACCACAAAAGGAACAGTGAGCATTTCCAATTTAATAATTTACATAGACAATTTGTTTGTTGCTGTAGCATCTCATCTCACAACAGTCACACCCTGGATCCCACTGTGGAACTATTGTTATTGTTAACTTGTTCTTATTGCTGTTATCTTATTGCTGCTTTACTCCTGTGATCGAGTCTGAAGTGGGATAGGATTGCTGGAGATGGGAAATGATGACCTCCTTCTAAAATTGGGGATGCATATGAAAATGTTTTTGCGCTCTGTCATGCGATGTCGCCTCAAAAACATATTGGAACAGAATAGATAGTCAATTTTCTGCAGTAAAACCAATCATATGCATTTTCTTAATAATGTTGCGTGTTTAATAGCAAATAGGATATTATATTTCTGATAGTTTACAAATCTTCTTTAATAACTGAATTATTCTGGTGGCATTTTCAGACTTGCATGGCACCTGAGAATAATGGCACTTAATGGTTTGTGGTTTCCTCAGCCCTGAAAACTATGTGCACGCTCACTTTCACATCATCAAATCTTACATTTACTTTTAATCAAACACAAACAGCTGTAAAAAAAACAACAACAACATTTTTGTAGGCAGGGCATATGGAAAGATTTGTAGACATGGTGGGGAATGCATATTTTGGTTGTTTCAAAAAAGACAATATCGACTTGCAGGAAGCCTTTGTATATATGGTGGTATGCTGGATATACTGTGTGTTGATGCTGGTATCAGTGTTTGTTTTTGAGTTTGATTGTATGTTTATATGTGTATGAATAATAAAAAACTTTATTGATAAAAAACAACAACATAAAACTAGAACTGCTGCAACACAGGTGAGTCATAGTCAAATAATAACTGTTCACATGGATCTCCACAAAGAGGCTGCAGAGAGACATGGGTTACATTTTGTTTACTTACATGAATGGGTAGTTGGGGCGGGACATGCGGTCGTCCGGGCCAATAGCATCGCGAGGAGGCGTTGACCGATGGCGGCTCCAGCCAATGAGTGAACGCTACAACTGGACAAACGCGACCACGACGGTTATGTTTTTCAGTCTCAACGTTCAAGAAGCAAAACACTGGATTCATCCGCTGTTCGGCCAATAACAGGAGACAAATAACAACCGAGACACGTTTTTGTTTCCCCCAGAGGAGAAAATAAGAAAATTATATTCTCTGCGCTTTTTTCTTGAAGACATCCGGGACCGGAAAAGAGCAGTTTTCACCCCAGTACAGACAGCTTGTTTGCGGATCCCCCCCCCCACCCTCACTACTTGAAGTTGTGTGGTGAGTCTGTTGTTGTCTGTTGTTGATTCTTGATTAATCATTAAGAAAAGAGAGAGAAACGGAGAGAAAGAGCAGGGATTCAACAACCAGAGAAACCAACCGTCAACAATGTGAAGACACACGCCGATAAACGGTCTGTTTGTGGTTACATGTGTACATTTCACGTTGGCTAACACCAGCACAGCTTTAACACTGGGTTTTAAAGTATATAAAGTACTCTGCAAATACTTCTATGAACTTCCATACACTGTCGAGCTCGTGAACACAGCTCTTCCCTCAGATCAGAAACACATCTGTGAGGGTTACGGACACACCGGGTCATTTAGCAACCCGTTGTTTTATCACTACAACTCCTCAGTCCTCCACATCGAAGCTGACGAGAAGCGATCGGATCGTTTGTAATCGATTGACAGAAACACTCGTGTTTCCGAAGCCACGCAGGCATTTGTGTTCTTGGAGGAGAGCGAACACGGGGGGTGGTGGGGGGTTGGGGGGGGGTTGCTCTCGTGCTGCGTTCACGTACCAACCGTGAGCCCTGATCTTTCAAACTCAGCGTTACTGTGACGTGTAGCGCGGAAGCGATTGGTTAATTATTTGATTAGCCTGGATCATTGTTTCCCGACCTGTTTGATTTATGTCGCCCTTTAGGGATCACATGTCTGCTCGTGACCCCTCGGCCTTTTCAGGCACTGCATGTTTTTGAGTTGCAGTTCAACCAGAAGTGATGCTTAACTCCCTCACAGATTGGTGCACTGTTGATAGTGTGAAAGGGTAAAACCATCCAGTATTTTTATTCCAAATGAAGAATTAAATGTAGAATCAGGACTGAGGGTCATCTCTATTGGATTAGATGTTAGAATTGAATTATTTGGAACTATTTATGATTTGATTTGTGCGCAGTGAGCAGGTTAAATTGTTAAAGTTTAAAAAATGTGCCGCCTCTTTAATCTCTTTGGTATTTAACAGGAGGAGAAACAGTTGTTGCAGGTCCTCCATGTTTTTACTCTGTCACGACTGAATGATCAGTCACATAAGTTCTTGACCGTATCTCATTATGAATAGACTCCTGACTGGTATTCACATTCGTCTTTTTTTCAATGTAAGGCTGCAAATCAAAAGTGTTGGACATTCTTTGTTGGTTCGAGAATAGGACAATATATTTTTCTCTGATTTTGGAAGAAGTTGTTGCAGGCAAAAGCACCAAAAGATCATGCCTCACTTGCTGCTAGGCAACCGTGTCGTCAGCTGTTGTCAGTCACTCAGTTAGCTTAAGTAATGACATTAACCAGTGGAACTTCAAACCGGAGAGGAAAGGAACACAGTATCTATGGTGTCTATTTCTGTTGTGATATTTTGTGTTGATTAAACGGGATAGGGGAAGAAAAAAACACATTTGACTTTTTTTTCTTAACACAGAAAACTCCTGGCCTTTTTTTCATCTGTATGGACACCAGAGGAGAGAGGGTCAGTGATTTATAGTGTTTTGGTGCTCAAAGTGCATCGGAGCTGGATTTTGTTCAGTCTGAGGATCCATCATCTTATCATGCACTATGAGCTTTTTGCATTTTTGGTTTGTTTTTCAGTTGCTTATCACGTGCACTGTCGACCTGCACAACTACACATTCATATTAATCAGTGTCAAAGCCGGTCATCCTTCAAATAGACATCAGCATCTTCCGAATATGTCAGATGATTTCAAAATATCTGAACTAAGGCTGGTGGATATAGTTACTATCACAATATAAATAAGTATATTTGTCAGTATCAGTATAGATCAGGATATGCCATGGTAAGAAGATAAATGTATTCTAGTGTTATGGATCACACCAGATGAAATTCTGAAATCAAAGCATCTATCTTTTTGTCTTAAACCATTCATTTTGAACGTAGAATAACAATAACACAATTATGTGGTAACAATAAGATACTATATCTGCCATGTGAGGCATTGACTGCGTACTTGTATGATGGGTACTTATATGACACTTTACAACTTATTGATGCATTATTAAAATGTTGTGCACTTATATGTTATGTACATGTCTACATACATGTTTACACCAGCGTTTGCCGACAAACAGAATTTCAGTTCCTGCTAAAGTTCTTAAATGAAAGAAAGAACTTCAAATGCATGAGTTCTTATAAAAGATAACAAAGAAATTGTTAATATATTTGCTAAACGTGTGGAAAAAGCGACATCCTCACAGTTAAAATATGTGATAAAAGCTATTTTAAGTATTATATTTTTTTAAATCCCTTTTTTCTACTAAGAAAACCATTTTGACATTCCACATCTTACTTTTCCATCGCATCGACATGATCCTGTTTTTATGATTTCTTCTTTTTTGTTCTCTTATACATGAACAATAAGTAAATGGCTGTTTAAAGAATAAATCGTGATCGTTCTTATTTTTCACGCTCGCTCACACTGAACGTGAAAAGCAAATTCCCACGCTCCTTGAAGCCCCTGGACGCAGCAGCAGCCCACGTGACCCCCCTGTAACGTTAGCCGAGGTGGCTAACGGGATTTAGCTGAGTGGAGCTACGTCGCAGCAGCAGCACGGAGCAGCGGCCGCACGGAGAGAAACGACGAACGCACTCTTCGCGGTGTAGTTGCGACAACTTCGAATAACGTCACACTTCGAGGCAAACACCGGGATCACGATGCCAGGTAACGCGGGGCGCGGGGAGCTCGACCCCACGCGGCTTTGTGTCGTGTTGCCCGACGGGCTCTTGTAATCCCCGCAGCGGAGGCTTGTGTTGTTGACCTGCCTCCGTGATGCTGCCATGCTTTAGCATTAGCTTTTAGCTTTAGCAGCGCGCTAGCTCGTAGCGGAGCCGCCGACTTTGTTTGGCCTCTAGCATCCGAACGGGAGCGGAGTTTGACCTCGGTGCGCGGTTTCTGTGTCGCAATACCCCGCCGTACCTCCATGTTTACACGCCGCGGGTGTTTTGGAGTCGTTTCCACGCTTCTCCTCGTTGTCACTTTATTGTAAAGAACTGTTTTCGCGCACCGAGCCGTCTACCCTTTGTTGTTGCTGGATTAGCATTCACCTTAGGCCCGTGCGCTGACAGCTACCTATGTGCTAGCCACCTAGCATCACCTCGGCTAAAACCGTCCAATCCACTACACCAACTTCCCAGGTAGGCCCCGGACACCTGGATTAGCCCCGTTAGCTGCGCAGAGATGTTAGCCGGGGTGAGCCACGACGACGCTCCCATTACACACAGGACACTAACTGTTGCGTTACATAATGTGTTATGAGGCGGTTTGTTCCCAGCATCTTGTGTTCACAGGGATGGAGCGGCACACACCGCTCTGTGGTTCTCTGGGATCCGTCGTAGATTTGACCTGTTTGAGATTTTCCAGCTTTTATTCCCCCTTAGGTACACGACGTCTCCCGGGGTTTGTCTACACTGTGACTCACACGTGTGGAGTTGGATATTGTGAAATTCGCATGCATCCCTTAAGCACGGTAGCTGTTTTTGTTGTTTCAGCTGCTTTATGAACACTGGTGTGAAACAGAAACGGTGAATATAACTATATAAACTAATGGTTTTAGTTCCGATGATGCAGTATATATTTTGTAGTCTTTGTTAATTGATAATTGTGTGAACTGTGCTTTCTATTTCCAAAAGCCCATAGTGAAATCAGGTTTGTCCAACCAAAAACTAGATCTAAAATGTACTGATTGAGTAAAGCAGGATAAATGGTTCCATTAAAGAAACCGTCATGTCATTGATGAGTTTATAATATACTCAGAAATGATTGAGTTCTACATCTCTCTGCGAAACAAAGTATCCCAGGCTCTCTCTAAAGATCATTCAAAGTTGTCTGCAGACGTAAACAACATTTTCACATGTGCAGTTTAATATTTTTGACCATTAGGCTCTTGTACATACTATAAGTTCTCAAGCATGTTTTTTTTGGTCCCTTTGACTTCAACTGCCTAAAACAGTTTACAGCTGGACTGAATGAGGTGATTTGAAGAAATATCTACACAATATTTCATTATTTTTCAGTTTTTTAGATAATTTGCTCTTTGAGAAATTAGTGTAAAATGTTGTCCAATCACCAGCTCTAACCCTAAAGATATTCAATGTACTAATATACCAGGGCATAAATCACAACTGGCACAAACTTTCAATCACTTGTCTAAATATTTTTTGAGTTAAACATTTTCTCCATGATTTGTCGGGAACCGGTGAAAACTAAAGATCAAGGTTCCCAACAGCTCAATTTCATTGTGTCGGTGTTTCAGATCACAACATAAGAAATATTTACATATTGCAACAGCTCAGTTAAAAAAAAAAACAGGTTTTGTGAGTTTATCAGTATTTTAACACGTTCTGTGTTGCACTGCTACAGAACAGCTATGTACTTTCCCACTGTTTACCCATAATTCTCATCAGATACGATCATATGGCACTCTGCTTGTTTGATGGGCCATACTAGGCCCTGCTAACTAAATATTACATGGTGACCAACACGCTGTTATGCAACGTGTACATGTTAAGTGCTTTGTGCGGTTCGTAATGGCACAGTGCTCACTGTCTCTACTTTTATTTATAACAGTTTAAAATGTGCCACTGTGTCGTCTGAGCAGAGAAATGTTAGCGCCACTAACTACTGGCAGCGGTTGGAAATTGATTTTAGCGCTGGTGTTCACCTGATAATTCTCAAACTTAATTTTTTCTTTTGGTCTTTATTCAACT